GCATGCTGGCTGTGGAATTCTGGGAGTTGAAGTCCACACATCTTAAAGTTGCCAAGGTTGACAAACACTGGTTTAGCACATGGTTCAGCAAAATCTCAGGAAATTAAAGGGCAGTGTTGCCACTCAGCCTTGAAGGAGGAAAAATAAATTAGTATCACATCTCTTCTATTAGCAGCATTATTCACCAGTAATAATCTACCAGAAAATGGTAGGACTTTTTTTCTTTTTAGGTTAGAAGTAAAAACAGTTTTGTTTTTAAGTGTTCCCTGCTGGTCTTGTTTTAGATTCTGAATTGTGGCATTCCTTCCACATATTCCCTTGACTACAGCTCCTTTTTCCTCTGCCTTGTAGCCTGTGACTGTGACCCTGATGGGACCTTAGATGGTGGGGTGTGTGACACACACGATGATCCAGCGCTGGGGCTGATTGCCGGACTGTGTCGGTGCAAGGAGCATGTGGAGGGGGCACGCTGTGACAAATGCAAGTTTGGCTTCTTCGGACTGAGTGCAGAAAACCCACAAGGCTGCCAGCGTAGGTACCCTTCCCCTTGATGGGTATTCTTGGGTGTAGGTGGTTCTTCTAGGGAGCCTCTGGTGACCCTAGCACTGGGTGGCCCTTTAGCCAGTGTGGTGTAAGGAACAAAATGAAAGATATGGTTGAGGTTCAAACCTTGACCCAGCCATAAAGTTCACTGCTTAAACTTCACCTTGTTTCTCAAAGCCAAACTAAAGAAAATAAGAAATGCTTGATGACGCCAGCAGCTTTCCCCTGAAAGCTGGGAATGATTTCTCAATGGGGGGAATACATCATTCAGGATAGATAAACTGGGACAGGAGTGAATTTGTCATGTTTGCCTTGACAGGCTGCCAGTGTGACCCCCGAGGCACAGTGCAGGAGGGGGCCCAATGTAATGCTATCACGGGCAACTGCTTGTGCAAACGCTTGGTTACCGGGCGCAGCTGCAATCAGTGCCTGGTAAGTACTAGGCAGGAAGCCCTACTTGTGCCCCTCATTTTTGCAGTATGTCTCCTGGACTAACGAATGTTATGTTGCTTTCCAGCCTGAGCACTGGGCTTTGAGCTCCGATCTGTATGGCTGCCGTCCTTGCGATTGCGATGTAGGGGGTGCCTATGACAACCAGTAAGGAACTATGGCTGTCGTTCTGTGTGCAAAGATGGAGAAGCTGATGAGGGACAAATTGGTGCAGTATTACCTATGTAATATCCAGGAGGAGGAGAAGAACCAGATGGAATGGATGGGAAGAGAAATATCATGTTACTGGAGGTGGCAAAGAATCAGATTGCTGTGGGAGGAGAGGCAGAAGAGAGAGAGCTATACCTTCTTCTTTCTTCCATATAATTCAAAATGAGATGTCTGCATCTGAGACGGGTTCTCAGATCTCCCATAAAAGCACTGACCAAGCCTGAACCTACTTAGTTTTAGTAAGGCTCCAGCCGGCCAGAGCCAATTTTATCCCCCCAGGAGAAGTTGGGTAGGCCTGTTCTCACTTGGGAGAACTGTTTGCCTATTTTGAATCTGGCCCTTTTCCTTTTCACAGGTGTGCCACAGAAACGGGACAGTGTCGCTGCCGCAGCCACATAATCAGCCGGCAATGTAATCAAGTTCAGACTGGCTATTACCGCATAGCGTTGGATCACTACATGTATGAGGCTGAAGAAGCCCGCCTCCACCAGGTGAGGAATGGCTAGGAGTCACCAGGAACTTGCTGCTGGAGCTGCTGGTTGTCAGAAAGCAGCTTTCATGGGTGTGAGCCTCAGGCTGGTCACAGGGGAGTGGAACGAGGTAATTGTATATTTCCTTGCCAGGTGATCCAGTGAGGACAAGAAGCAGAGTAAGGACTAAATGCTGATGGGTGGGGCCTGTCAGCCTTTACCTGCCACCAAATTTACTTGCATCCACATTTATAAATCCAATCCCAGGCATGATTCTAACTGTCCAAATGCAGTTCATATGCACAGGTTTTGTTCTAAGCAGCATTGGGGAAGCCTGCAGAGCATCTGCTGGGAAGCAAAACCTTTAACCCTTAGTGGAGTTTTCCTGGAAATACAAATGGCAGTTTTGAAGTGATACTTTTTTTAAGGAAAAAGCAAATATTAAGGAGCAATGCTTTGGACTCATTCTCCAAAAGGTGCTTTGGAATGCACACGAACACAACTGTAGCGTTTTTCTGCAACACCTTAAAGCAGCCTTGTCTTTTCCTGAGACTGGGCTACAGTTATTCTCTGAGGAGCTGCATAACCTTAGCAAGAAGTATCTCTGGGGAGACTATTTCCTGAAGGCAAATACAGGTAGTCCTTGACTTACGATGGCAATTGGGACTGGAATTTCTGTCACTAAGCGATGTGGTTGTAAAGTGCAACTGCATCGCTTAGCGATGGCAATCCCTGCAGTCCAGGTTGCCATTGTTAACTGAATCCCACAGTCGTTAGGCAAGGCAACTTCCTGACGGCTTCCCATAACCAAAGTCAGTGGGGAAGCCGGCAGGAAGTTGCAAGTCCCAGGCCGGCAGGCAGATAGGTGGCTGCTGCCAGGTGGGGGAGGGAGTGAGGGGGTGTGGGGAGGGCGGGAAAGAGTTGGGGAGGGTGCACTACAGGCACCGTGTGGGTCGGGGACGGTGCACAAAGGTGTGTGAGAGGCACTGTGCAGGTTGGGTCAGGTGTGCTACAAAATTGTAGTTTGCACTTATTGCTATTTAATTGTGTTTCCTTTCCTATTGTTTAATGAGCTTTTCTGGGGACATTTTCAAGGCTGAAAAAATCACATGTGAATGTATGTAGGTGTACGTAAAGCTATTAATAAGGGAAGTTCTCTGATTCAGTTAAATAACTCCGAATTGATAAGACTGCTAATATAAAAAAAAAAACTAA